GGCGAGTGTGTGTCTGTGTGTTTGTGCGCGCGCGTGTGTGTGTGTGTTTGTTTGTTTTCTCCTTTCCCAATGGCATCACTAAAAAGAGATGTCCCCGTCAAAAATGAAAATAAAATCACACTAACAAACAAAAGATTTGGATAAAAGTGAATCTGAGACCAATTGACGTCATCTGTTTAATATAACGTTGTGCTCATGCTATGTGTTAGCTACATTTAACAGAGCTTTTACAAGGTTAATTGAGGCCGAGCTGTAGTTAAAGCAGAGACAGCCAGATAACGATAGTATTTGTGTGGATTCGTGGTGAAATCAGGTGCTCGTTAAAATAATAAAATCAAAGAAATTCTCATTTTTCGACCCGTTGGGCAATTTTTATCGGTTTTTCCGTTTGGACTCAATCTCGTAAAATCACATTCCTTCTTGTATTTTACAGAAGAAAAAAAGTTGATCAAAAGCGCCAAAAAATGCAAATTCAGTTTCCAAGGTACACAAGCTTTGGGAGTCACTAAACTTTGACGAGGTTGGCGGGCGCTCTGGTGATGTTTGTTTCTTCTTTCCTATCAAACATCTATCGTCTTTTACTACCCTCCTTTTTTGTGTTTGTTACTCTCTTGTAACACCTCTAATCTTCGGCACTTATATGACCTGATTGTGTTGTAAGTGCCGTAAAACACTTACTAAAACAACAAAAAACTTTGAGGAACATTTTCTCGCTAATTCTATCTTTGACAAGAGCTGACCCCCACCTCCTTCAATTGCTGCTGATATTTCGACTTTTGTTCAGGATATTGTTTCTGCAAATTGACGTCAATAATTTTGTCACGACACGATGGAATCAGGCGTTCGGCAATTCTGTAGATAGTTTATTTGTCTTGCTTTAGATTTAAAAAGTACCTGTCTACTCTGAAGTCGACCTGTGTTCTACTGAAGGAGATGGGGGTCACCTGGTGTCAAAAGTAAACATAGGGAGAAAATGGCCGTCAAAGTTAGAGTCCTTGGAAAATGCACATTTACATTTTGTGTGCCTTTTATTAACATTTTATAGCCAACTTCTACACAAAAATGCTGTTTCAAACAGACAGAAAAAACTAAAAAGAAAAAAGAAACGAAATAAAAAATCCCAACGGTCAGAAAAATGCCCATTCCTTTTAATTCATTATTTTGACGAGCGCCTCATTTCACCATGCTGTCTCACAACTTTGTTTTACAGCACTACAAGCCTCCCCTGGGCAAAGACCTCCCCATCAAGTTTAACATCAAGTTCATGAAGGATGACCCAGCCCCACAGGGCGTCCTGAGGTCAAAGGGTAAGTCATTGTAAACTCTTGTGTCGGAGAGCAGGATGGCCAAACTGTTTTGTAAACTTTTGTATCGGAGAGCAGGATGCCCAAGATATATTTTTAACTATAGTACGTGAGGATAGGGTGGTAGAAAGGTATGCTTTGTAAACTTTTGCATACTTTTGTACCTGCCAGCAAGATGGGCAAGTTATACGTTGTACCCTGTTTTATTGGATAGCGGGACGATCAAGGTATACATTGTAAACTTTCAAAATTTACTGAAGAGTAAGGTGGTCAAATTATCCCTTTTAACTCCTTAATTTCGGAATGTCTACTGACAAGGTGCCGCACTATTGCCTGTTTTTGTTTTTCTCATTCATCTTAAATGTCCGCTTGCGTTTACTGCTACTGCTTCCTCATAATATTCAATTTTTCAGTTTTTAAAACTATTTTGGTGGGTAATACATGCTTGTAACCTGAAACATACATTTTCAATGCTGAAAATGTTCACGTTTACATTTTTCAAGCAAAACTAGCTGCAAAAACTAGCGTCAGTGGTTTAGAGGTAAGGCACTTTCTTGTCACACACTCGAGACCCGAGTTCGATTCTCGAGTAGGTAGACATATTTTTATCGAATATTACCTCCGTCTTTCTGTTGGAATGATGCATTCCTCTAAGCCCAAAGTTGCGCAGACAAACCTACCTCCTGACTGATCTAAATAGTGTCGCTGGTGGCGCAAAACTTCTACAACTGCATTTTATAGCTGCAGCAAAGCACGGATTAGGTATACGACTTGCAAGAGTTAAATTTTGATATTATGGAGCAAGTTCACCAAACGTTTAGATTTAGATTGTCAACGATTATAGAGAAAAGAAGATATGTTAACATCTGTCACCTTCTTGTGTCAATTATTATAGAGAAAAGAAGGTTTATTTATTATTACCGTCTGTCTCCTTTCTGTATCAACTCGCTTCTTCAGAATCACAAAGTTCTATCCAACAGTTTTGGCCGTTTTCCGTTAATAAGACTATGAGGTCAGAAACCAAGTTAATGTTCTGTCTGCTTCATCAAAATTGTAACATAATTCGGAGTTGTCGTTATCAAGATATTCGAAGAAGTGCATTAAAAAAAAGTTTAACTTGTAAAACTCAATTATTTAAATATCACATTTCTCAAAACTAGGTCAGAGCAGATAGAGCTTTGTGATTTTAGGATAACGAACTATTACAGAGAAAAGAAGATGCATTACAGTCTGCCTCCCTCGTATGTCAACTGCTATAGAGAAAAGTAGGCTTATAACCGTCTGCCTCCCTCATGTGACAACTATTATAGAGAAAAGAAGAATTATAACCGTATGTCTCCTTCCTCTGTCAAGTATTATGGAGAAAAGAAGGCTTATAACCGTCTGTCCCCCTCCTCTTTCAACTATTATAACCGTCTGCCCCCCTCCTCTTTCAACTATTATAACCGTCTGTCTCCCTCCTCTGTCAACTATTATAACCGTCTGTCTCCCTCCTCTGTCAACTATTATAACCGTCTGCCTCCCTCTTGTGTCAATTATTATAGAGAAAAGAAGGCTTATAACCGTCTGTCTCCCTCTTGCTTTCCCCAGCTGTGGGCGAGCCTCCTGTGGCACTGGGAGCCACTCCGCTGTTTGCACTCAAGCGAGCTATAGAGGCCGCCAGGCGGGAGCTGGGCATCAACCAATTCTTCCCTCTGGGTGAGTTGAAAGACAAAATAAGAAAAGATTAGATGGGGCAGGATGGGATAAAGTAAAATAACATAACATAGCATAATATAACATCTCCTCTCACACCCTCTCTCTACCTC